AGAGAGAGAGAGAGAGAGAGAGAGAGAGAGAGAAGGAAACCTGTACAGAAAAATCACAGACAGAAAAGTAACTCAAAAGTATGAGGTTTTTGACCTGGGTTATCCTTTCTCCCTCCTCGCACCACAGGACCACAGGGTTTCATGCTGCTGAGTTAGTGCAGGTCTGAGCCTTCCCACCCAGACAGTACCAGCACATGGCTGCTCTTAGCCCAGGGGATGTCTCCTAGGGTGGTGGTGCTCACACAGCCAGACAAGGGATGGAGAGAGGAAGGTTTGTGGACTGGGAGGAAGTACGTGATAAGTGTATGGCGTCTGAAGAGGGTCTCTTCCAGGCAAACCTTGTATCTTAGAGATTCTAAAAATTGTGAGTTCATACAAGATCTGGAGCTTTATTTTTTAAATCAAGTTAGTAGTTCACTACCAGTATTTCTCTTGGAATAAAATGGGATAGAATGGGTTAAGACAGGGTAGAATGGATGAAAATACAGCAGAGAATAAGGGTAAATATTAAGGAGAGCTCTATAAAACATATATTGAGATATGTGTCTAAATATTGGTTTGCTGAATATTTCTTAGTGTGGGTTGTGGTTTAAAAAACAACCACCACCACCTTAGATAAGCTGCCCTTGTTTCTGGTATGTGAAAACCATGTTTGTTTGTCATATGATACTACCGATATATTGGGAATCTGGGAACATGGAAATGAACCCTGTGGAGTTAATCAGGCTCTTAATATACAAAGTAGTGAAAGATTTACAAAGGGGCAGCATATTCCACTTACAGTAATGCTTATAGTGGTGGTATTCTCTGTAAGTAAAAATTCTGAACAAAACCTTGGCATTTCATTTTTGCTGTTAAGAAATGATAATAGCATGACTAGCAGAGCTAAGTTTATATTTATCATCATTCTCCGGAAGTAGAAAAATTTTTTTTTGTTTAGAAATTATTGCATATAAGCTTTGTGCCATTTTATGAGGTAAGTACCGTTTTTATGCCCAGAGGCATTTTTCACAGAGGCACAGAAAAGTGACTTTAAAGGGTCCGTGGTCACAGAGCGGACCCAAGCAACCTGGCTGTAGTCGGTGCTGTCAATCACGATATGTAGCTACTCATGTCAGGTAGATCACAGGAAGTCCCTGTGTTGAGATCACCCAGAAATGTTGCTGTGACCCAGCTCTCTGCTAGTGTGCAGCCATTCGTAGGTTCTCACATACTTCTTTCCAGATCTTAAATGGATTGAGGGCCATCTGGAAAATCACAGTTTTCTGAAGTTGAAAATACCCTGATTCACCCTCTGGTTACTTTGTAGGTTAATCAAACAGTGGCAGCGTTAAAAGCCAATCATGTCAATGTCGGTGCCCGGGTACAGTCAGCTGCATATTTTTCTGGTGACCAGATTTCCAGTGACAAGGAAGGTAAGTAAGTGATTATATTGGAAATAATTTTTTTCTGGGGATAAATCCCTTAGGTGTAAATGCCTGTCTGAGCTTTCAGAACTCGTAATGGCGCAGAAATCTCATAATCTTGTCCACGTTCTCATAGATCTTGGGACAGGTGCGCATCTTAATTCAGAATCAGGCAGTGTTTCTACTGTAGGTCAGTTGTGTCAGGAATTGATACTTGAATCGTTCATGCAGCAAGTAGTTATTTCACACTAATAGTGATATCGTAGCTAAGACACCTGGCTGTCATTTCCTGAGAGCGTGTCACGTGCCAGGCCCTTGGCTGAGCTACAAGCATTCAGATGTGATCTCTGACCTTCTCAGGAAGTCTCATGAGAGTCAGGGCTGTATCTGAAGTCACCCAGCTGTTCAGTGGCAAAGCCGAGCTGATGCTGGAGCTTGTCCCGCTCTAAAGTCCACACTTTTCACTGTTTTGCTGCATTGTTCCCTTGGCACAGGGTTTCCATGCGCTGCCTTTCTTTCATCTTATTCTCATGAAGCACATTTTCTAAAATAGCCCTCAGAATTTTTATTTTAGATGAAAATTGACTCCACTTGGGGAGGAGTGGTTAAGGTTTATCCCTCTACTTTTTCCAGTATAGTAGTCCCTTATTTTTATATGTATAGTTGAATAAGAATTTACATAATTCAACTGAAATTCTCAAATGATGGGGCAGAAATTATTCTGACTTTAAACTCCAGTTCAGTATTTTCTTGTTCTGGGTACACATGAGCTTGCACAACTCCCTGTGTCTGAATATAACTGTTAATAATGAGCATGAGGAACAATGGCCTATGTGTGCTTGGCAGTAATTCAGGCAGTCTTTAATTGCAGAAATTATTTTATGACCCCTTGTACACCTTAGTGGCTTTCATTGTTCTGGGAGTGGTAGACAGCAGGTTGCCATACCAAGTTCACCAGTTGTCTCTGTCTTTCACCCATATTAGATCAGGTAGTCCTCAGACAATAGTCGTTTTCTAGGTAATGCTGAGGCACGTTGTTAGCTTAGCTTGAAAGCAGAACAGAAAGGAGAAAAGGAAAAGAATGAATGACTTGCAGCAAAATTAGAATTAGCTTTTGGAAGTTCATATCCCCTTGTGGTTATCCCATCTTATGGCTAAGCTTGATTGTCCCCCAAATTCTGTACATAATATTGGATTAAGAAACTGTATTTGGAAACAGATTTTATTGTCTTGTGTACTATGTTTAATTCATATCAGAGCTGCATTTTTGTACTGAAGGTCCAGATGCTCTAGAATTAATTATTATACATTCCACTGAGTAAGTTGTTCCTTACTTTTTTAAAAGACATTTTATTAGCTTGGAAATACCTATGTTTGAGGTTTTTATAAGGCTAATATCTAATTGAAATATATCAATGATTTTTATTTTTCATTTTATTTCTCTTACATGAGTGTACTTATTACTCTTGGATGACTAGATTTATTCTGTATTGAAGTAGATTTAGAAAACATTGACCTTAAATGTGATGTGGATCTCTTATATGGCAATAGATCATTTTAAAATTCTATTTGTATTTTACGGCCTCAGTTAAGAAAGCAACCCTGAGTTTAGTTTTGTTTTGGTTTTTACTGTCATTTGGTGGTATCTAATGTGCTATCACGATATCTTTAGTATCATCCTTTCCCTAGCTCACTGATCACATTTCTCCTTGACTCTGATAGATAGCTAAGAGCATCTCCATTTTGTCAATGAGGCAACTGAAACTAGAGTTTAAATTATTTCCTAAGCCTATAGAATGAGAATTTGAACTCAGGTCAATTTGACTATAAAACCACCATAATTACTACTAATTTTTTTCTTTTACTCTTTTTTCTGTTTCTTTCAGAGGATTATATTCGTTATGCCCATGGTTTGATATCTGATTACATCCCCAAAGAATTAAGTGACAGCTTATCTAAATACTTAAAGTAAGTATCATTCATCTTCAGGCCTAATTAACAAGTATCTTTGTGCCTTTTGATTTTACAGCAGTAGAGTTTCTCTGTGGTTTATTATATCATTGTTCACAATGAGAGTTTATTCTTGAGCTATATCATATACTCTGTGGATTGGAAATGATTTTTAATAGACACTGGTTGGAATGAATAATTCCACCAAATCAGGTGGAAACTCTGATTACAGCAGCTTTATATCCTTTGTATGATTTTATAGGATAAAGGATATTAAACTTTTATCCCCAGTGAAACTTAATTCATTTGGTTTCTTTACAGTCATTTTAAGCAAAAGAAAACTGGGAAATGAAGGGGTGGATGACACTTTTAAAGGATGCAGGCCCTTTGAAACTTAGGAGAAAAATGACCTCCGCAGTCATCTTAGTTGTTCCATTTGGTAAAACAATATTTTAAAAAATTACATTTTAAAGTTTTATGCTATTTTTACCATTATCATTAGATGTTCACTAGATACCTTTATAATTCTAAGTAGTTGGAATTCAAAGTCATTTGAAAAACTGTGTTCTTGAAGCATGGAAGAATCAGCCTAAGGATAACTTCATTTATATTCCTTCCTTTACAAAAATGTTTTAATATAATGTAAGGACTTTACTCTTGTGTAGTATAACTGTGTTTATGGTCAAGATTTTAGCAAATATTATTAACGTTTTTTGACCGTGATAATTTAAAACCTTTTCCTGAACCTTACACAATCCTGTTTTCCTCCTTCATACATAATAGATAGTAATAGATAAAGATGCTGTTTATAGCAAATTCCATAGATCCTACTTTAAAACAGTGGAAACTGGTTTCTGTAATAAAGTGTGTCTAAAGCTTGTTAACATCTTTCTGTTTAATACTTCCCTTGATTTTTTGATTGCTTGTCTTATTAGCTATGTAATGTTTTTATTAGCCATCTAATGTTTTCATTATTTGTTTAGACCCTTTTCCCTCCACTGAAATTTTTAATTTGGGGTTAAAAATTTGCAGAGCAAGATCCAATTAAACTTCTCTTTCATGGGAGAAAAGGTGAAGTTTTCATGACTTTTGTCAATAGTTACAGTAACATTCACTTTTAAATAAATGCTAGTAGCATCATTTGTGAGGAAGCATTCCAGTACCAAAACATAAAGTTGAGGCTACAGACAAGCAAGCTCTATTTCAGCAAATGGTTTTAATTTTATTTTTCTTTTGATAATTCCAACATAGGGAATTAAGTAGTAAAATGAAGATTTATTTATTTATAGAAATTTTATTTTTTACTCTGAAATAATGGAACAAGAAGATCTGTTGAAGCAATGCTATGAAAAAAGAAAAACTAAGTTTTAAGTAGATCTAATCTCTACTTGCTTGTCTGTGAAAAACGGAGACTATGATTCTATTTTTTAACCTTCCTTAGGCTTCCAGAAACTTCAACTCTATTGCCAAACCCTCCATCAAAGGTAAGAAATTGTGACTAAAAATATCTTCAGGGAACATGGAAAGATATCACTTCTACCACATGAATTTAGATTGTTGGAGGGATAGATGGGACCTCTATATAGGGTGAGAAAAAGGGTACAGGCCCTTTAAAACTTAGGAGAAAAATGACCTCCGCAGTCATCTTAGTTGTTCCATTTGGTACCCAAATTCCTCTCTCAGCCTAGCAACAAAGTAACCAGCCAACTGGGTGGGGCTGCTGTCAGAGAGAGGGACCACCTCAACCCCATAATAGAAGACCGTAGGCCACACTGGGCAGTTACACAGCTCTGGGTCCCCCACTCCTCAGAGTGGCATTGTATCTTCAGTTAGTAACCTTTACTCTTGTTTTGTACTATCTTCTGACTGCTCTTCCTGTTTTTATGTCAGCGAGAGAGAAACAAGTCCAGGAAAATTCGACAGTGGGCTAATAACCTGGGCATGACACTAATATATTTTAAAGCATACAAAATCCATTTTGCATAGAGCAGTGGTAGCATGTGTGCCACAGAAGATTTTTGTACCATTGAAAGCTCTAAGAGGTTCACCATCATTGGCATAGAGTGGTGCAGTGTGGAATATAGATTGTACTGGGCTCTGTGTCAGTATTTTTTATTTTGTAGATTTTACCTGAGTGGTGAAAAGAACATTGGTTTTAGCAAGATACTTCTTGAAAAATATTATAGATATATGGATTTCTTTTGACAGTACTGGGGATCAACCCCACTGAGCAATATCCCCAGCCCTTTTTTAGTCTTTACGGTATTGTGATGGGGTGCACTAAGTTGCCCCAGCTTACCTGGAATGAGACATCCTTCTTTCTCAGCCTCCTGACAGGATGAAAAGTATACACCACTGCACATGGCTATTCACTTAGTGAATTTTATTAATCACCCAGAATACTCCATATACAGCTAACACATTTTGCCAAATTTAATTGTCCCTGAACAAAGGCACGTAGAGCACAATTTGTATAATATAGCCCTTTAAATGACAACTGTGTTTCTGTTTTGCATTTGGGATCAGTTTTCTGTGCGATTGTTGTCCGTAGGTGGGAATCTGCTCTTTGAGACGTTCTTAAACTGTCAACCTCAGCTTTTCTACAGTTTATGTTTATTTCCCAGAGATAGAGACTAGAGAACCCAGTTATAAGCCACACGTAAATACCGCATGCTGTAGCATCCCTCAGTCTTGGCCAGGGTGATGATCCTATGGCCCATGTGCTGCAGCAGACTGTATCACTGAAAGCTCTAAAAGGCTCGCCATCACTGGTCTAGGTCATATCTCAGATGAGTAAGCACTGCTCTGGGACAGGGAAATAAACACAGGCACCGTTGATCAGTGAGGTCATTCTCCAACCAGCAGAGGAACAGATGAAATGGGAATGTGCCGTGGGCATGTCACGGACATTAAATAACTTTCCTTCCCTGCCTTTGTTCCTTGGCCTTCAGAGGGACAACATGTACCTATCTGAAGGTGGTGCCAACAGCTTCCAAACCATGTACTGCTTTGATTTTTAGGAAAAGAAAAAAAAAGACTGAAGATTGAAAGTGCATTGGTGTTAGTTTAGGGCATGCTCAGCATGCTCAGCAGGTTGTCAAAGAAGATACATCTTTTATCTTCTTAAAGAACAGCACTGGGTAAAAGTCATCTGCCATGAGATCTACTAAGGACTGCAATTCCAAGCCAGGCGCATGTTTCTAGTCCAGTAGTTAATTTCTGATGGTAGCCCAAGGAACAGAAAGAAAAATAATTATTTTGCTTTTAGTAGATGGGTGTGCTGAAAGTGTTCTTTCTTATGTCGCTCCCTCTGAAAATTCAGCATATTTCTTTCTTCTAAATATCTGTCTTCCTTAGCAATTTAGAGCACATCCATAAATTGCTCTAAACTTATTGCAAGTTGTACCCTTTGATACTTTCTGGAGTAGTGAGTTTCATGTCTATTCTCCATTCTAGTTTTTTTGTGTTGTTTTAATTTCCAAAATTTAAGTCATTTGTGGTTTTATCATTTATGATTTAGATCCAGGGTCAGCATACATTTTGTATTAAGGCCAGGTAATAAATATTTTAGTTTCCCTGGAGCAAACGGTCTCTGTTACAGTCACTCAGCTATGTTGTAGTGAGAAAATAGACACAGACAATATATAAACGAGTTAGCAGGGCCATGTTCCAATGAAATTTTATTTATAAATCAAAGGCCAGCTGGATTTGGCCGTTGGGCCACCATTTTGCCAAGCTGTGATTTAGATCTCATCATCTTGTTCTTCCTAAGCCTCAGCTCTATTGCCTGGATTGTGTTATTTGTTTTTAGAGGTCTTCTACTCTGTGTGTCTTCTTTGGGTCCCGGTACACACAGCATAAACTTTATTGTATGGTGTACTGTAGTTTGAACAAATGTGCAGTGTCTTCTGCTAGCCTTCCTGTCTGTGCTCAGAATTTGACTTTTATAGTGATACACTTGATTGTTTTCAGGGAATACCTTCTCTCAATCAGGAGATAACTTTTGCATCTAGCTATCATGGACAGCATGAGCTGACCATCCTTACTATGGTTTTTTTGGTTTTCCTTACTAGTCCACCCTGGCTGAAGCCCAGCGTATCCCCTTACCTCCTTCAATCTTCAATATTTATTGTCTCTTTCAGTTAGCAGAGCGAAATGCATTCAATCATGCCTTGTATACCGTGTTTTGGAGCCATGTGTCCATTTCTTCTGAAACCTTCTCCTAATCTAGAGTGATTGATCTTTTAAATAACAAAATATCAGTAACTATTTCATCCTGTACTTTCTAAAATATTCAACACTGTGCCAGGAATAGCATAAAAGCTACCTGTATTCCTTTTCTTCATCTTTTTTTTTTTGGTACTGAGAATCAAACTCAGGATTCTTACGCTTGCCAGTCAGGCACTTGTGCTGCTGAGCTGTATCTCTGGCCCCATTTTCTTCATAAACACCTATTTGGTATGTTGTTTGGTTGTGAGCTATTAAAACACCGATCAAAGCATCATGTTTATTAAATGTTTTAAATTTGCATATAAGTAATTTGATCTTAGGTTCCAGCTGTCACATCTCTAGGTGGGTTTGAAGTCACCAGCTCACTGGAGAATTTTCGGGGCTTATATCTCTCTGATGGCAGAAACAGGAAGAGTAATCAGAAGAAAATGCAAAGACAGTAAATTTTACCAACAGAAGAAAAAAGATAGAAATCCAGTTTGTGGAGTGCGGGGCGGAGGGGAGGCAGAGCTGGGTAACTGCTAAGTATGGGTGAGCAGTCCTGCTTTTATGGGGTTGAGGTGGTGGTCCCTCCCTCTGAGGGAGCCCTACCTGAGTGGCTGGTTTTTTTGTTCGTAGGCTGATAGAGCATGTTGGGTATGATCACAATAATTAGAGTAGACGATATGACAAAAACAAAACTGTAGACTGCCTGTTTACATTCTCTGAACATTGCAAAGATTGTGTTTTTCCTAATCTCTAATGGGCCTGTATCCCATTTCTGACCCTACCTAAGGAGTTCCATCTGTCCCTGCATTTTCCCCCTCTGGAAACAAGTATCCAGCTGCTGTTGGGATTTAAAGGCAACGACTGTTCTGGCTGAAAGGGGGCACTGGTTGGGGCTGTGGATGATGTCCATCAGGAGGGTGATCTAAAAAGCCATGGTAAAAGGAAGGAGAACCCACCATAGTTGGCTCTATCTGGATGACCATTTGCATATTTATAGCATTGATTCGATCTGAAATTTACTGGGAAAGGCAGTTTAGTATAAAAGGGCCAAACAGACACTGGGAAAGGAGTCAGGTGGATATAAAAGGAAATTTTAGCTGAAGAGAAAATTTGGATCAAAAGGGAGTCCATGGCCCCCTGGTCATGGAGCCACTTAGTCTAGTCCAGAATGTCATTAATCTGAGTCTTAACCTATTGAGAAATGTTAATATAGGTCCAGCAGGTTCCATTAAAAACTGCACAGGCACCTCTATGATGGGCCAGCATCTAATCTAATACTTGCTTATGTACTAAAACAATACATGCCATGGAGTCCAGGGATCATTAGAGGTCCTTGAAATTACTACCAGTTAACTGGGCAACTTCTGGTGCAGGGGCAGGGAGGTTTGAGATTTGTACTGAATTGGCTACTATTCCCTAGGTTAGTTTCATGAGGGTGCTATGAGTGCCATGATCCTTAAGGCTATAAGAGGTTTACCATTTATACTGAAAACGTCCTCTTGTTCCCTGAGGTCAAAAAGCCCTGCTGCATAGAAGCCTGATTTAAACCCTACATACCACGTAAGGATAGTCGCAATTTTGTTAAGCCCCAGGTTCCTCTGTTTCAGTGGAAATGGTGGCAACATAATCCTCGAGATTATACAGGGTTCCCATCATGATTTCATCCTTTACCATAAAAGAGGAGTCTGGAAGGGGAATAAAGAAGACAACTTTCAGAAAAGTTGGACCTTTTTGGAGAGAATACTGAAGGGATAAGTAGGTATAAGGAGTGAATCTCAGTGAACTGACTAAAGGTGACCCCCAGACTTGACAAGAGTACATACCAAGAGTACATACCACCTTGGATCCCATCACAGCTGGGCCATGTCAAGATACAGTTAGCTTTAGGTGGATGAAAAAAGATTGATTAGAACCTATTTTTGGGTACCAGACTTTATCGTGATCTTGGCAAGTAACAGCAGTCCAAGGTCCTGCCTTATTTGAAGATGACGGGCTTGCCTAGCCCCCTTTTTTATTGATACCCAAAGACTAAAATTTCCCCTTTCTCTATACCGAGGTTGTCCAGTCTAATTAAAGTCAGAGTCAGTGTCCATGGCCCAAATCCTGTCAGCCAAGTGCATGCCCTCAACAGCTGGCCCGGAGACCCCAGGGAAAGAAAGAAATCGGTTAGGACTGTTCAGAGGTCAGCAGGTAAAGTTGAGCTTATTAGGATATGGTCCTAGGTAGATCTGGAGCCAGGGTGGTGGAGTATTTGGGAGTGGAAAGC